CTATAAAAATTAATTAGCTTTTGGGAAGAATTTGAGGAGCCGAATCGTTCGGTCGAATCGGCCGGGGATCCTCCCGATGGAAACGATCATCGACCTCTTCTCGAAAGGCCCGAGTCGACCGACGATGATCGATGACGATCGACGGAACGACGACGACGACGACGACGACGACGACGACGACGACGACGACGACGACGACGACGACGACGACGACGACGACGACGACGACGACGACGACGACTCACTTTCTTCCCGTTGGCTCCGTTATAAAGTACAATTATTGTCATTCGTTGCTGAGATCTCGGAACACTTTGTCGACTCTGGATTAAACTCGTAAAATTGTGTAGAAATGGCGAAGGCGGAGCATTCGATTCGGCGCGGTATTACACGTCACGAAGGGTGGAGTTCGATCATGGCCAATATCCACGAATTGCCTTCTAGTTAGCTAGAGTATCTTGCGGTCCAACTATCGCGAGATAATTACACTTCAGTCACTATAATGGCAAGTTAGTTATAGAGCGGCGGATCTTACGAGGGAATTGCGAGACGGCTGATCGAACCCCCGCGTCCACGAGGGGAAGAGGAGACCCGGTCTCACGTCACCGTTTTCTTCTCGGCAAGAGGCAAACTTTGGCCCACGGACGTTCGAGAAACCTGTCAACTCGTGAACTATGCGACTTGGACTAGTCAACGACTCGCCTATTCTTTAGATATATTTATTGGAAAATAGGTTGACGAGGCGAGGCGAGTTGGAACGAGCACGTTGACAAGTGAATGCAAATCGGAAGAATCGAACGACGGAAGAACGACGCCGGGGCGGCGAGTGGAGGGAAGGGTCCAGGTGTAGCGCGACGAGAGGTAATAGATATTTTTCGGAGATTCGTCGAGCGTCTACAGGAGTCGAACCTACTAGCATGGCTTCTCGCATTGTGTGCTCGCGCGTTCCAACTCGAGAGCTGTTCGCCGTCCGAACAACAAAAACCGTTTCTGTGGAAGAGTGAAACGACTCTCCGGCACGGGCGAGACCCGTTTCGGACAGAACCGTTGAAAAATTCTAATTCCTAGAATTAGAAAAAAATGTAGAACTGGGACCGTTTCGTTGGTATCGTCTGACAAACCCGTACCTTACGAGCACGAACGAGCGACGCACCTAAAACGGGTAAAACCCAAGTTCGGCCGTCGCGAAACGGATTTCACGAGGTAATAATTCGGGATCGGGCAGAGACGAGTTTCATCGGGAACTCGTTTATGGCACTCGAAAGCGTGGAAGGCACGCGGTGGGCCGGTGGTGGTTCGTCCAGGAACCCTCGAGAGTCGAACAATCGAGTGCCCCAACAACTACCTACTCACTTACGGGCTCTCACCTCGGCCGGTCCTCCTCCTTCTCCTCCTTTCCCTTTCAAAGTCCTGCCCCACGGCACCGAGTCATAACCACAACGAGTACAATGGATGGAAACCACCGAAGGCTTTTCACTGCCACTTCTCCGTCCCGCCAATTAATTTCCTCGGCGTTGATCTCGTTCCTCAAGGAGGCCACTCGACAGCTGCCGATGGACGAGCATAAATCTTTAAATCGTTCGCCCTGGCCCGACGTCCTGCCCACCGTTCGACCGCCGCTCGACCGCCGCTCGACCGCCGCCAAGCTGCGTTTCACTCGTGAGAGGTACATCAGAGACCTCGAGTGTTTACCACTCGGTTCACCACTCGTTCGTCCACTTTTCGCTGATGTTCGTATCGGCCGGACCGTCGACGCGCTCGGTGGTGTATACCTGGTTACGTATAATTATTACCTACGTTTCACAGCCGTGGAATCAGGAATTTATCAGGCAAACGTCGAGCCTACAGACAGAAGAATTTCTCGTCTCACCCGTGACGCTCTGTAGCTACTAGCGAAAAACCGAGGTGCATGGACGTGGTTCGTGTCGTCTCTGCATTACGAATAAATGCGGTAATGGAAAATGGCAAAGTGGGCTGTGAGAACCGATATTCCCCCGGAACGGCTGCGCATGAAATATTCGCGGCGCACAGGTGGAAATAAGGAATCGTCGTGAGCGCGCGTAGTCAGGCGATCCATTTGAGAAGACGGGCGGCCGACGGGTTCTCAATGGGTGTCTAGAGGTGCGGCGCGGCGGAAGAATTGAAAAGCCGCGCTAATTCGCGCGACAATGCTTTCCTCGAAAGGGACGAAAGTTTATCGCGGGTACTCGCGAAAAACGACCTTTGGCCGGGCGCCAATCGCGCGACGATCTTCCGGGTGCCGGGGTGGCCAATGACGCGGACCCACTCTCGTCGCACCGACTTGCATAATTTATTATCGACGATCCGTTCCACGTCGGCCACGCACGATCCTCCCGTCGCGAAAAATTTCGTGGTCAGTCGTACGCTGACCTTGCGCGCGTCCCATTTGCCTGGTCGATCATTCGAGCTGCTACTGTCTACCGAACGCCGATGCTACTTGGCTCTTTCGCTCACCGATCTATCATGCTAATTCTTCTCGTCAACATTCTCTCTTTTCTCCATCTTTCCTCCATGTTTTCTCACACCGATTGCCCGCTGTCTGTACAATCGCAACGATCCAGTGGTAACCGTACAGACCGTGTTCCACCGTTGACCAAATAACTTGGACCGTCTACACCTCACCAGAGGGTAACTAAACTGAGTTCAGACTTGGTCATCGACACCGATACGACCACGTGCCGTTTGCAAATTGAAACCAAGTTTCGTTCCGGCCGACGAAACGGCGGAAGAAACCGCGAGGGGAAGATTCACCGACACGATCAGCGACACAGGGAATCGGGACCGTGGCTCACGGTGATGGATGCACCGGCATTTACCAAAGTCGCGCTAGCTCGCGAGTCGCCCAGCTAGACGATAGAAGGATCAGGGTGTAAAAAAAAGCGGCGACTCCGTCGAAAGAAGGACAAAGAAACCGCGAGCCGTGGCGGGCGCGGGTGGGGAGATTGGCGCGCGGTCCAAAGACGAGCGGAAAGAAGGGGTGGAAAGAGAAAGGAGAAAGAGAAACGAGGGAAAAAGAAAGGGAGGTGTGCGCGCGGAATTCAGAGACGAAGAGAAAGATGAAAAAAGAGACGGGTGGGTGGGAAAGACAAAGGAGAGCGAAAGAGAGAGAGAGAGAAAGAACGGGGATTAGATCTCGGGGTGAGTGGGTTGGATTGGATTTGGCAGAGACGGGTGCTCTCGTCGGTGGTAGAAGGAGGAAAAGGGAGAAACGGAGAGAGTGAGAGAGAGAGAGTGAGAGAGAGAGAGAGAGAGAGAGAGAGAGAGAGAGAGAGAGAGAGCGAGCGTGCGAGAGTTGTGAGAGGGGGAGGTAAGAGAGACAGAGAGACTTGGGTGGCATCCGAGCAGTGGTGGGTGTGCGGATGGGGAAACGAGCCGAAGGGAGAAGCGGCAGAGAAGGAGAGACGTAAGGGACAGAATAGGTGGTGGTGTAGGTGAACTGGACAACCACCAGAAACTCTCTCGCCGGTATTTAAGGGAGAGTCGCGAGCGTAGCGCGCCAGTTACTACGGCCGATTGCCTCCACGAGGTGTCTATAAGCCGAGCGAAGATACAAACGGGACATACAGGCAGGCACGCACGCACGCACGCACGCACGCACGCACGCACGCACGTACGTTCGATTCCAGTGTGAAGAGAAAAGAGCGCGAAAAGTCACTTAGTCACGTGGCTAGATTTTGCAAAACCTCGTCCACGTCGTTTCTCTTCCCTTAATCCACAACCCCCTACCCCCCGCCCCCCGAAGTTCCCTCGAAAGAGAAAAAAGTTGGAATTCAATTTGACTTGGAGATAACAGAGTTCGCGATCGACGGACGAGTGATAGTAATCGGGTGTTTCGCGAACCTTGGCAAGTGATAACGTCTTTGAAAATGAACGAGTGCGCGTTTCTCCAAGAGGCTCGTCGCGGCTCGCGCAAATACACGATCTATGGAAAAATTTGAACCGTCGCCGCCGCCGTCGCCGCTGCTGCTGCTGCACCGAGAATCGTCAGCTCCTTTCCCGTGGATCGTGCAGATGAACGGGCTACCAAGGTATTTCTACGAATAATTCGTTCGTCAAGTTCAACGCAAGAGATCGCAGAAATTGCGAAATCATTCGTGAGATAAGTACGAAAAATCACCCGAAATCCGGTTGAATTACGAGATATCTACTCACTGACTCAAGCGTCGGTCTTATCGCTTTATTCTTTCGAATTGCAACCGTGATAACGTTAATGCTCGCGTAATTTCTTACACTGACGCGGTGCGCGACGTCATTTTTTTTTCTTTCAACACCGTTCCAACAGCAGAACGAGAATAAATACGTTCGATGACACGAACGCCGCGCACCCGCGCGAAACCATTCGGACCGATTCGAATTCGCTTTACTCTTGTTTCGCGTGTGAGGAAATACGGTTGTTGGCGAACGTTCACAGGAGAATTGATAAACAGTCGCGAGGCGCGTACAGTTTCGCAGACAGCGTACGTGCTAATCACGTAATAGCCAGGGTGCGGTGGCCCGGCTCCTTTCTATCTCTCCGATGAAGAGTAGATGATCGAACGTCCGATGGCGAAATGCCAAACGGTTCCCCGCGAAAAGAGAAAACGCGAGGATCGCGAGTGGTATCGGCTCCTTCGGCCCGTCAAACCCACTACGGTGCATTTAATTTTTTTTTTTAATCGGAACGGAACGCCAGGAATCGACGCTTCCGTTGCGCCGCGATAAGCTCGACGTCCCGTTGTTACCGAGTATATTCGATGATCACGTCTGTCGACGGTCGACCATCGAAAAGATCGGGTCGGTGAAAAGATCATCGGGACGTCGAGTAAACGAGAAATTAATCCGACGCCGAAGGGACGTTCGTAGGAGTGGAGACGTAACGCGAACGCGGGTTCGTCCTTCGTATTCCTTTTCCTGCCGCGGACGGAAAGACTGGGGAACTGGGGAACAAAATTGAATTCGCGGGTGGATCGTTTAACGAGGCAATAAATATCTCGTGTGCTCAGGGAAGGAATCGTTCGGGTCCGGTACCCGATGCTGCTGACGTTGGGTTTGCTTCTGATGCTGCCGGACACCGGTGCCGTTCACCACCAACGATCCGACCAGTCGCCGCTCTCGTTCGCGAACGACGCGCTCAGCTCTGGCAAGTCTCCGGCGTCCAGTCGCGGTATCTTGCTGACCAGAATTCTGCAGGATGACCAACTCCAACGGATCGTCCGGTTACCTGGGATCTGCGCCAAAGAGACCATCGTTCGTTGGGGGTAAACGATCTTGTTCCCGTGCACACTGCAACCGGTTTCTCGTTCAACGTTTGATCACGAGCAAACGACGGCGACGACGACGACGACGACGACGACGACGACGACGATAGATGCACTACCGACACGGTCGTGACACGTAGCAGACACGAAAGTGAGACGCGGCACGGTCGCGTATAAATCGACCGGCCAAGTCCCAATGAATGCGTACAGCTTTGAATTTGTTTTCCGAACCGATCGTTTTTCCGATGTAGTGAAACGTTATCCTCTCGGTGTGGAACAACGTTTCCCTCGGCCAGGACAGGAAACGTCCCCGGGTGCAACCCTCCGGCCGGCCAACCGCGGAGAAGTCGCCGCGTCAGCAAAGAGAGAAACAATGCCTCCTTTCAGCGTTTCGAATGCGTGCATACGCTCGTACGAGAAGACTGGCTACCTATGTACTGTACGTGCATTTAACGTCGCGGTTACCGCCGCGCTTTCAACGAGCCTGAGTCGTTTTTACACGGGCCGACCGATAACGACCATTCGCTCGCGCAGCCTTGTCGGACGCGTTCTAGTCGGTCTCGTAACGCGAATCACGCGTCAAATACAGAGTCGTCTTTCTTTCTGTCGACGTACGCGTCGTTTCAGTTTTCCAATCGCGAGCAACGTCGACGACGTTCCAGCCTTTCCAATTCGAAGCGACTACGACACGCGGCCCGGGATTTGCCAAGTTTTCGCGACAACATCCAGAAACTGTTTATCGCGCACGCACGGCGCACAGTGACCACACGCCGAGCCGACCGCTCTGGAGTCCTGAGCCGAAAAGCGAGGCAAGTCGCGCGAGTGAGGATTAGGTGGAGGCGAGAGATCGAACATCGGGAACGATGCCGGCCGGGCGTTCGTAGTCGTGGGGATTCATCTGCGGATGCTCTCACGAGGATACCGGGGAGTTGCACGACCGCGGAACGTCACCTTCCACTTAAATCGGTTAAATCTCTTTTGCCGAAACGAGAAAAGCGCGCGCGGGTTGCCTGTTTTCTCATGATTCACCGCATTGGTCGCATCAATTTTTCATCAGGCTTTGATCCGAGTTGAAAGATTTTAAACAGCACTTCACGCGAGCCTATTTGGTTCGAAATTAAAACGGTCGACGTCGCTCAGATGGTGAACGCGTGAGAGACGATCGTTATTCTACGGCCGTTCTGCGGTCTGCGTAAGTTTCGACCGTCGAAAATACGATGCCGATAATAGGCGTCGACGGGACGGTTGCATCGGTCATCGGGCGAGCGTTGATCACTGAGAGGATGCGTGCCGTGCGTGCGCCTGGTTTCAATTCCTACCTCGGCGATCTAGCTTGAATTTCTCGCGTCACACGCGTCGTAGGCACAACCGCTGCTTCGAGCGTCTATCTTCGATGACTATGAAATCCGTCTACTCCGTGCGATCTGAATGTCTTTTTTATAGAGACACCGACGTAACGTTGAGGCAGATCTGGCTGGAAGAGACGGGCAGATGTTTGCAATTGATATACGAGGGTCGGACGTTGACGGACTGCGTGGACGAGGACCTGGGCGACGAGGAACCGTGCGCGTCGGGAACGACGCGCGACGATCACAACGACCGAACGTGGTCCGTCGAGCTGTTCGACGTGGACGAACGTCGTCGGGAGAACGCGTCGGGAATTCCGCGGGACCTCTCCTGGCTCTCGTCCACGTCCGAACTGCGTCGCCGGTGCAACGCTGCGAGGAACAGAGCGAGGAGTCAGCTGATCGCGGCGCAACACCAACGAAGGTTCTCCACGTTGTTTTCGCCGCATTAAGTATAAAATTGCGACTCGAGCTTCCGAGAGCAAGGACGGTGCCGGAGACGCATGTACAACACGCGTATATTTCCGATGTAGGAGATACTCGAATCTGGTGGTGGGAAACGGTACGAGTGCCCGGGAAGGAGGAAGACCAGGCGGAAAGAGCCGTTCGCGGAGGGACCTGCTGATGATCCCGGGTACGCAATGGTGCGGGCGCGGTCACAGGGCGACCAAGTACACGAATCTCGGCGGTTTCGGTAAAGCAGACGCCTGCTGCCGCAGACACGACACCGCGTGTCCCTTCTTCATCCCGGCGTTCGAGTCGCGCTACGGGGCGTTCAACTGGGGTATCTCGAGCATGATGCACTGTGCCTGCGACGAACGGTACCACGATTCCCATCGATTACGATCGTCGCATGCATCACGCCGTGCGTATCGTTCGAAACGATCGTTCGAGACGAACACGATCGATCGTTTCGAACGACGCGCAATCCGACGAGACGACGATATCGTCGGAACAGTTTATCGAACAATGGCTAAACTCGGCTTAATTCAACAATCCCCGCCGTTCCTTACAGATTTCGTACGTGTTTGAAGATGGCTGGGACAGCGTCGGCAAATTTCATCGGCAAGATCTTCTTCGACGTTCTGAGAACCAAATGTTTCGTATTGAAACCGCGAAAGGTCTGCGCGAAACGCTCCTGGACGGGCAAGTGTCAGCGTCACGAGTATCGGAAACAGGCTCATATCCGCGACAACGTTCCTTATCACTAGACCCAGCGCGGTCCAAGCGTTTTTTTTTCACAGGATGCACTTCTAGAGATGTCGACACCAATTCTCAGGGATGTAACAGCGTCCGGCGACTGCGGCTCGCCGGTGAGACACGATGGTTCGACGCAGCGAATGAAATCTTTCGAAATAGACAGGGTATCGTTTCTATCGTACACTTTGCCGTCTGGGAAAATGCCAAACAATTTTATTCTGTAGATAAATTGTAAGGAACAATGTACATATGCAGCACGAGTAGCATAATTTTTCGAGTCGAACGGAAACTGTAGAAGGTATCGGTAGTTGAAGCGACGTCCTTTCCAAAAATTCACGTTACATCTTCCTCGAAAAATTGTCACCTAATTCGTTCGTCTGTACCTAGTACACGTATATGTATGTATGTATGTTAATTTCGCGTCGATCGGCTATTAGTGCATTTATATTCCGTATGTTTCTATTTATGTACGTTTAAACTTATCGAAAGATTAATGCAGATGGTGAACGAGGTGAAAGGTATTTAAACGTTGAAATTGCAACATATACACACTTATCACTATTCACAAGTTTCACGTAAGCGTAGGTGCGCGTAGTAACGATAAGTTGAACTCACAATGTCTCTTCGCATTGTATAGGCATGTATCATTGTAAATATGTATCATAGGAACGTACCGTCTTCGTAAACGGAAGATGCATTATAACGACAAATCCAGTGAATAAAACCTTGTCAAGTATCCGCGTATAAGTAGATTACGCGTTGTTCTCCGTTTTAAATTCGAATGCGTGCGCGCCTGTCCGGTGCGCAAGTCCGTAGACAGCAGCTGGCTCGTGGCGGCCACCTCGACCTCGTGGCGCTCAGATAAGTACTCCTTTTTCTTTTCGCGCCAATCGCACTACTTCTCTCTCTCTCTCTCTCTCTCTCTCTCTCTCTCTCTCTCTCCTGTATCAATCCTGTATCCTGGCCTAGCGGCTAGCCTAGCCCTAGCCTAGTCGCCCTAGCTAGCTAGCCTCGCATCACTTCGCATTTCGCGTCACAGGCTGTGACTCACAGTCGCGAAGGTAAAAATGCTCGAGCTCGAGGAGAACCAAGTGTTTACAAAACAAGGTAAAATCAACTGCCTGTCGACAGAATTAAATTTGGGCATCACTCTGAAAGGTGGACAAAGTTTCAGGTAATTTTTTAACGTCAGGTTCGATGCAGGCGTGTGTAGAACCAGAGATACTTACTTATTCTTCAGATGGTTTTCTCACAACGATGGATACAGAGGAGTGTTCGAGAGTTGCGTTTGGACTCTCGAACAGAACGGCACACACGTGTACTATACGGCGCAAGGTCCGTCGGTAGATACTAAAAATTGCGACGAAATTTTAAAACGATACTTCAGATTGGACGTGCGTTTAGAGGATCTGTGCAGGGAATGGGCCGAGTCGGATCCACATTTCGAAAACTCGTTAAATAAGACGAACGGTGTCAGGATATTGAATCAAGACGTTGTCGAGAATGTATTTTCTTTCATTTGCACTTCCAACAATAACATTAAAAGGTTTGTGCAAATATTTAATTCGTCGTTACGTATTTCGGTCACGTGTAACGTGATTTTAGGATATCAGGAATGGTAGAAAAATTGTGTAGATTGTTCGGTGAAAAAATTTGTTCCATCGAGGGGAAAGATCACTACGACTTTCCTACCATCGAAGCGTTAGCAGAGGAGAGCGTGGAAGAGAAATTGAAGAAAGAAAAGTTTGGATATCGCGCCGGGTACATAGCGAAAACGGCAAACAAGTTGATGGAACTCGGTGGGAAAACATGGCTCTCGAGTTTACACAGGAGGAACAACGTATCGTACGCGATGGCCAGAGAGAAATTAGCTACTCTTCCTGGAATTGGTCCCAAGGTCGCGGACTGTGTATGTCTGATGTCGTTAGGCCATTTGGAAGCCATTCCTGTAGACACTCATATCTTCCAAGTGGCTCGTGTAAATTATTTGCCGCATTTAGAGCGACAGAAAACGGTCACGCCGAGAATTCACAAGCAAGTCGGCGATCACTTGCGTGAATTATGGGGGCCACTAGCTGGTTGGGCACAGGCTATAGTTTTCTGTGCGAAAATTAACGCCAGTGCCGAATCGTCGGTGAAGATCGCCGGTACTCCCACGTCGTCCAACTGCAAACGTAGTAAAACTGACAGGTAGGTAAATGTACATTTCAGAGTCCAAGTCTTAAAATATGAGATGTAAAAAGACTTTGGACGGCAACATTACTTTTACTGAATAACAATGTTTTAATCGCTGTATATATGTACAATATATTACAAAACCACGGTGGAAGGTGTACAAACATTTCAGCCAGGTTATATATCGTGACAAAGTTTTATAGACCATTCAATGTTATATTCGTCTTAGCTACAGCGTAATTACCAGACTTTCTCTTTTTCTTTTTCTTTCTACTGATGCCTACCAGAGCGAAGTCAAACTCATCTAAAATCATATAGTCCCTTTGAAATTCAAATTCATCTTTTTCACTGGCGCCGCCAACACCACCGTCATCGTCATCCTCATCGTCATCTTCGTCTGCAAAAAAATAATCAATACCCGAAATTATACCAACTATTCGGACAGTCGTTAGGACCATGTTTTTACTCACTTTCGTCAGTCTTTAATATATCTGCAAAAATGCTTTGAGTAAGGTGTCGCAATCCAGGAAACATTGCTGATAAATATGCTCGGTGGGACGACTTTAATACTGAGAGACAATCCAATTGTAAAGACACTGGTGCAGAACAACTGTGCGTCAATCTCATCCTACTCTGAGCAGCTGTGGAGCCTACCATAGGGTATAGTGCGACGTCCCTTAATCCAGTGAAAGCGATACCTGGACAACGAATAAAGTTACAAAGACGAAATAAGTAGAAAGTAATCAAGATCGCAAAAGCTTACCAAGCGGTTTCCTGTTTAAGAAAAATTCTAAGGTACCCCTCCACGTGTCCAAGTGCACCCCTACCAAACTGCCTTGTCCAAAGCAAGGGCCATAGCTGCGTTTTTCACCACCGTGTTGTATGTATCCTTTATACGAATAGCCAAAAGATTCTTTGTCCAGTCCGAGAAAGGAACAAAAGACATGTTTCGTACTATTTAAATCCACTTTACTCGTTCCGACGCCGACCATCTGAAAACAACATCTTATTGCTACTAAAAACAGTGGCTTTTTCGAACCGTACGTGGCATGCGGATCGTCACGTATCTTCGTTTCCATTTTCGTTAAGGACTTACAACGTCTGTTCCATAAATAAAGGTAAGCATCTTGACTTCCCAGTAGTGGTGCCTCCCTTTCTCCAACATCCTGGTACCTCTTACAGCTGCCGTACCGTAACTGTATCCATTATGAAATTCCACTTCCAAATTGTTTTCCGATAAATTCGTGTAGAGAGCATTCTCCTCGTCCCATGCCCATTCGTGCTCTGCAAAGATCATCTGTCGATCAGCATTTCTACCGTCTTAACAAAACTAGACATGAATCACACTTTGTCATCTAGTACAAGTTGTACCGTTTTCTTCGCCGCAACGACAATTCTCCGAACTGCAATTACAAAACTTTGAATACTGAGATAACCAGCCAGGATCATACTGAAAATCCATAGTCTCGAGATCAAATACTTCCACTGCCAATCGACTATCTTTACACGACGCGTTACGAATAAACTACATATGTACTACACCACAGGCCACAGTGTGTTATTGCACTTTGATTTGCTTATAATCAACACTCATTTTTAATTACCGCAAAAGTTACTCTTGCACGCGAGGCTATCGTATGCATGGTATACATACATACGTACGTATCAGTGCATACACAGACACACACGTCCCACACGAAAATAACGCGTTATACTTGCTATACATGCTTCAAGATGCGATCTCCGATTCGTTAATGTTGTACAGCTAGTAACAACGAAACTAAGCCACCTATGTGCATGTGTTAGTTTCCTCTAGGGGAATAACAATAAAAAAACGGGTGTTAATAAGTGTACGTCTTATATTTTCAATGCTCGATCAGGCGTTTATAGAATTGTGGTCGATACTGTTTGACACGTCAAACTAAAAACAATTTTAACCTACGTCTGGATAAATAGTTACTGATGTAATTTTATTTTGAAATTGAATGT